CCCCAAAACCCCAAAACCCCAAAACCCCTAGCATAGTCAAAATTAATGCATTTAAGATCAAATAATTATTTGCAAAACTTATACACTTGACATTTAGTTGATTCATAGCATTCTTACTTATTTAATCGATATTGCTCTCAACAGCACTTGCTCTTTTTTTTCTCTAGTCCTGAGCTTGAACTCCTCTCTCCCTTGAGCTTTTTGCCTGGACCTCTTCTATCTAGAGCTTCATCGAGTACACTTATCGCCTTGTCACTGTTAAACTCTATTCTCATGTTAATGTTTTATTTAGCAATAGTATTGATCTCATTTACCAGTTTTTGGAATATTTCATTAACATTTTTACCTGTCTTAGCACTGCACTCATAGTAGTACATCTAATTATCCAACGCGAATTACTAAGCTAGATCATAATTTATCTGTCATTGATTCTCAAAATTTTCTTTTGCCTCTTGACTGTCAACATCTGCTCCTACTATATTCATCTGGGGGTTACTAGATTTGGCCTGGTTTGAAAGACAGAGATCACATTTATTGCCTACAAGTACCTTCACAAGCTTCGAGGGAGCATGCTTGTTAAGATCACTCAGCCAAAAATTGACATTCTTAAAGGACTCCTCGTCTGTCAAGTCAAAGCATAGCAATACACCAGATACATCTTTATAGTACATCCTTGCAATATGTCTAAATCTCTCCTAGCCAGCAGTGTCCCAAACATAGAGTCGCACATTTTCCACTTCTTTTTAAGATGCATCGACATCTACTGAGTCTCCTTCAACTTGCAAAGTCTTTACTTTGAAATCCCATGCTAGTGTTGGAGCTGTGCCGTTATTATCAACAAACATATTGTCAATGAATCTCTAGATGATTGAAGTCTTGCCAACCATTGAATCTCCAATGAGAATGACTTTGTATTGCTTGGCAGCTATCATAGCCCTCTTAACTGATCTCTAGCTATTTTGTCTTTTATTCATTTTAGATATTCTTATATGATATTATTTAATTTTTTTAATACTCTAATTAATTTAATTAAGTTTTGTCACGATCATTCTGTCATAGATAGGATCCACTTGGAGCGAATCTCTTATCAAGATTATTTTTATTAATGATTCCAAATGCTTTCTACGAGTCCATGCCTGCATACTTTAGATCCTTTTCCTTATCGAAGGATTTAGTCATTCTATCTTGCAGCTTATGATTTTTGGATCTCTTGTCTTTGGACTTGTCTGCATACTTCTTAGTTTGATGCTCTTCCATAAGTGTCTTAGTTCTAAATTAAGTGTTGTATTCATCCATATATTCCCTGATTGCTCTTTATCTCTCATCTTCTTCATCTTCATTTAGTTTTTTGTCAATAACACCCAGATATTTCTTGGGATCCTTAATCTGATCGTCAGTGGCATTATTCAATTTTTGTCTTTTCCCTGCTGCACCTGAAAACATTCTAGTGAGCTCATCTTCTAATTCTCTGCTGGGGCCTTAATACTCAGACTTGTCCTTTTAAATTATACCCATTGTCTATTCCAAAAACTCATTGGCTTTACTGTCCATATCATTGATCTTCGGCCCTACTTCTTCATCTGATGATTATTACTCTACTTTCCTATACTGCATTTCATTTATCTTTTAGGTCAATTTAAGCAGTTTATCATCATTCTTCCTATTATAGGATTGCTGCTTAATCTCTTCCTCTGATTCAGAATCTTCTGATCCTGAATCAGACCCAGAATCTGAGTCAGAGTGCTTACTACGCTTTACCTTACTCTTCTTACTCTTTTTACGATCATTATCACTATCAGAAGATGCTCCTGACTCATCACTATCTTCGTTATCTGATCTATCACTTTCATCTTCATCCTTCTTATTTTCATTCTATATTTCATCTATGAAGTGCTGGATCATAGCTTTCATTTTGAAATCGTGGAGCTTCTCCTTCTTAGTAAACTCTAACTTATTATCAGGGTTGCGCTTGAGTCTCATCAGCTTCAACACTTTATTTAGTTTTTGCATAACATATGAGTCTTCTAAAGTACTAATATCTGCCTCATATCCTCCGTCTAGCATTTCAAATAACTCAGGCAGCTCTTTTATCGATGAATGATTATGATTGACTAACTTGCCTATGATCTTTTTGATATTAAACAAGTCTTCACTTGACACTTTGTTAGAGAAACTTTCAGATGCCAACTTTAATCTCTTTATTTTATCTTTTTCTTTTTTCTAGAGCTTACCTAGCTTTCTTTGTTCCTTGATTTTTCTTTTGTTTTTCTTTGCATCATGCTTTTTCTTTAGCTTAGCAGACTTTGATCTATGCTTTTTATGACCTTGATCTTTGTCATCATCATTGTGCTTTGATTTGCCCATTATAATTCTGAAATATATAATATTGCCTTTATATAAAATAGCAATACTTTTCGATTTGGCTACAGAGGGGTTTTGGGGTTTTGGGGTTTTGGGG